CGCGTTCGGTTGCGACATGGTGTCGGCAAACAGTGCAAATCCACGCGATGCTGAGATCCATCAGCGGTTTGCCCGAGACGATACAAGCAGGGAATCTGGTCGAGCAATTCGGGCATGCGGTGCACCAATCAGGTACCAGAGTTTCGCAGTTGACGCATTCCGCCTTGTTGTTACGGGAATCTTTCGGAGTGTGCTTCGTGAAGATATCCACCGCCAGTTCTTCATACTCCTCTTTCTTCGCCTCCGAGATTGTCTCAAGTCCTTCCAATTTTATAAAAGCCTTTGAACAGGTAGCGAATGCGTGATTAACAGCGCTTGATAGTGCCAATAGACAGTAGATGTCTTCTATTTCCAGTATATCCTCGTAGTCTCTTAATCGTAAAGCGGTCTTCATCGCGGCATCGAAACTGCCATCGTACAATTGTCTATGCGCGAGCAGAAGGAAGTGATACGCCTCGGCGCCTCGCCAAGCGTTTTCTATAATCTTGGTGTCCTCGTTGCTTTCAGTAAGACCCATGACAACGTTGCTGCGTCCACCTTTTATTGCAGGAACGCTATTGATATGATCTTCAATCAGCAAGGCCGCGAGAACGTATATCTTCTTCACGCGCAGGGGATGCGACTTGGATTTAGTTTGCTCCTCAGCAAGATAAAACAATAATTTAGCCGCTTCCAAGTTGTAGTTGGCCTTCTTGTACAACTCGATTGCCTGCAGATGCTTACCGTTCGATAATAGATGATTGGCGTATTTGCTCAGCAACTCGCCGATCTGTGCCATCTTGTAGGTCTTTGCCAGGTCGACAGCTTGGTCCCAGTGATTCAGACGCACGCATATATCTACGGCCAGCTTTACGTCGCCATATTTAATGTAAGCTGCCACAGCCTGCGGACACATTCCTACCGAAGCCAGCATTCTAGCTACGGTCTTCAAGATGGGACTCTTGTCCGGTAGTTGATCCACGGTTGCCGCTAGCTGAACGAAATCTTCTAATTTATAATAGCATTGAATGAGTCTCTCCAAATTTCTACCTTTCTCGTAATATTCTTTTGCACTCTCCCAGTTCTGTCTCTCGGCGAAGTAATCACCGATCTTGTTGTACGCGTGCTCCATTTGTTTATCCGAACCGCCAATACCCATTTTCATCAATTGCACAACCCGAAAATAATCGCCCAACTTTTGGCGCAAAGCAACTGCCAGGTCTCTCCTGTCCATGTCCAAGTAAAGCTTCTCGGCCTCGTCGTAGTTACCAAGAAACGCTGCTACTTCGGCTTTCTTCAGCTGATCATTGTGCACGTTTTGCAAACGCTTGATAAACTGTATACCCAGGTAATCCGTGCAGCGCACCATGGCGTTCTCCGCCGTTTCCAAGTCCAGCTTTGTCAATGCCGACTCAGCCAATAGACGCCAGAGACGCGGGTGCGGATTGTCCTGGATGAAATTGTTGGCCTCTTTCAGACCCACTTTGGCCAACAGCTCTCTTGTGTCTCTTAGAGATTTTACTTCCAAGTCCACAATCAAGTCCTTTCGCATGTCGTCAGACTTCAGCATGAGATCATCCAGTAAAACGCAGCGTATTTCCAAGTCTTGGAAAGAACAAATATATCCGGAGCAAGCTATAGGCTCTTCGGGATCCAATCCTCTCAGAACGTACATTCTAGTCTTCTCCATAATCGCTAGGAGCGAAGGATTATCCTGTGCCCAGCACATAGCCCATACATCTTTTCTCTCAAACTTAGATATATCTTCACTCGAGTCTCCGTCTCGCGAATCGGGTGGTTTTTGAAGATCCAGATCCAACATAGAGAGTATACCATTGGCATCTAGGATGGAAACGCGTGTGGAGTCGCAGTTAATGGCGATTCTGTGCAATCTGCATACAGTATTATATCGGTTCACGAGCGTTATCTGCGGTAGAGAGTACCGTTGTATCATCCCCGAGTCTCGGCCAACCAAAAGAGTCTTTTCGGTGGCGTAGACGCAGCAAATCGGATCCATGGTTGCTTTCGTACTGATGGGGGTTTCGAACGCACAGTCCTTGTCCAAATCCTGAATGACCTCGGTCACGCCGGTCGGCGTCTCGTCCACGTGATAGATCTTGTACTTGCGCATCCTGCTCGAGTGCAACGTCGAGTTACGGGGTGCGCGAAAGTTCCAAATCAAGAAATTGTTCTTAGATGCGGCCACGACCATATTGGATATCATAGTAAGATATAATGGTTCCAGATCCAAAAACTTGGAGTCTATTGGTGTGGCGATGGTATTACAAACAAGGAGGGCGAATTGCTCAGTGGCCTGGGTGGGATCGTTTCTCACGGAGAGCACGCAGTGTTCTCCATGCGAAGCTATCGATATCAAAGATCTCACGTACTTGGTACAACACGTGTTGCTGCTCGTATTCCAGAATGTCACGCAGATGCCATCCTTACCAATTTTCTCGTTCGTGAAAACAACCGTATTGCTGAAGTACGTCCATTTGTAGTCCAGACGAATGTTCGCAAAGTATATGTGAGAGTCAACAGACAAAGCGACTCGGAGGGAACCTTTTTCCCAAGTGCAACACGTTACTTCCCGTCCTGGTACCTTCAGGGTTCTCATATGTTCGCCGAATGGCGTATAAAACTGTATAACATTCATGTCCTTTGTTTCTCCATTACTGAGTACCGGCATCATGCCTGTTATCGCCAAGAGAGAGCCACAGCTATTCCAGTTGCACCACGAAGTAGTCACCCCGGTCTCCAACATAATTGGATTGTCATCGCTGGTATCTCGCATCAATAGAATCCTACCGTTGCGATAACAAATAGCTAGAGTCGGACAGTCCATGGCAACGTAACCGTTTCTTCCATCGTACCACTGTAGTGCCATTATGGTTTGAAACTGGGAGGTATTCTGTGAGGGAATATTCAGTTTTGTTAGAAAGATGCCTTGATTATTATAGAGATGAAGTTCTCCACTTTTCAAACCAAACAGAAGCAATTTTCCATCTGGAGACCACTGTACAGCAGAAAGGGATACGTTTTTCAATTCCTTACCCCAGATTCTGTTGCCATCGACAGATCCGACAATCACAGCTCCATCCTCATAGACTATGCATATCTTTTGACCATCAGAGCTCCAAGCCATACCTTTTACCACAGACTTGTTGCGATTATTTATCATTTCTTCATACCACGAACCCTTATACAGCATCCAAACAATAATAACTCCATTCTGATCACTCGATGTCAGCTTCTGATACTCCTCATTCCACGTCACTACTTGAACATGTCCATTGTGACCCTCTAGGGGTTGATTCATGCTTAGATTGCTTGCCGCAGCCAAGCCTCGAGATTTTCCACCGCTGTGCGATCCATTGACATTGGAGTCTACTCGAAGAACTTTTAAAAGACCATCTTCTCCTCCCACTGCAATGTATCCATCCTTCTGATTCCATGCTATGCAGTTTAATCGAAAGTTGTTTGGTATTGAAATCTTTTTGCTCAGATAAACGAACATTGCTGGTTTATCAGTCTCCCTGGAATTCTTTCACAGAATTGGTGTAAAGCTCTGAAATCAAAATATTTCATTTATAATTAATTGTAAAGTTCATAGCAGAAAGGCTGATTTATAATTTTAATGGGCCTTCTACAATAAGCCAATTGACCAATCACAGTCGTCAATTTTTAGCTTCTGACGTCTAATTTATGACTAATGGCTTATTGTAGAAGGCCTATTATGTTTTAAAGGCACTTCATATTTATACACTTTTAAGACATAAGTCATAAAATAGTTTTTATGCGTTACTAAAGACATAAGACTAAAGTCATAAGATACTTTATAAATAGATTGTCTAGACATTAATTGATCACAGTCAAATGTGAGAAGAAAAATCGATTATGATTGGGACTTACCTAAGCTTTTAAGTCTTAAGTTATATAAAATTAACCAACCATAATCGATTTTTTTTCTCACATTTAACTGTGATCAGTTAATGTCGTACGATTTAAGACTTAAGTGAGAGCTTATCGTAGAAAGCCCATAAGATTATTATGCATTCTACAATAAGCCATTAATCATAAATCATAAATTAGAAGCTGGAAATTAACCAATCACAGTCATCAATTTCCAACTTCTAACTTCTGATTTATGACTAATGGCTTATTATAGAATGGTCATATAAATCAGTTTTCTGTTAAGACTTTAACTTTGACGGGCTAAAATCTTTCTAACCAAATGATTTACGAGCAAAAGTAAAGAATCAAAAGATACAAAAAATAAAATAAAATAAACGATTTTCTTTCATACTGTTCCATGTGATGTAGTTGTGAAAGCAAGTACCGTGTTTTACAGAGAGAAATAACATTCGAAGCGAACTGTCAAAGCTGTCACGTTTTTGATATAAACACTTGTCAAGTTTATCATAGCAACGAAAATGACGTGCATAGCAACGTGCGAGATGCCATCTGAGACATTCATAATGAGGCTCACGGTTTACTGTTGATCGGATAATGCGATTTCTGCTTTCAAGACGATATCAACCAATTGAATATTATACAGGATTTGTGCGATGATTTTCTTTCTCGGAATATAATTCTATGAAAAGAAGAGAAGGTTTGATTTCAGGAAAATCAAAGAAAAGAACGTTATAATAAACATTTATCAAATTTTGAGATAAAAATTCTGAAGATAGTATGAAAAATTTAGAGAAAAATTTGCACATAGACACACTGCGTATTATCCATTGGAAATATTTAAACATAGCTACGTAGTTTAATGTATGTTGTACACATCTTGTACACAGAGGCGCTATGTCGTAAAACTCCGTTTCAAGTGAAGATTTAACTGCGGAATAATGCAACTACAGAGAACAAATCTGACGTTTATGCAATTTCATCTGTTTCTTGGCGCCGCTGCGTAAATTCGTTCCATGTTAGCTGACATCGATTCCTGTCAAGCCAGCTGAAAGAAAGCTTGCAAACGCATAACGATGTGATCTCACAGTTAAAAATATGACGTTTAATTCATGAAATCGTGAAGCGTACGAAACATAAAATATGTGTTACGGCTCTTCCATGAGACAAAGAATTCCGAAATATAGTTCTGAGACATGGGAAGTCTTGATAGGTTAGGAATTTCACTTGTAAGTATTATTTACTGATTACATTTTAATCTCTTTTTATACTTATATAATTTAACACTTCACTTAAATGCGAGATTAACTGTCTCTATCTACATCTGGATCTTTTTTGGCACAAACGAAATTTCATTCTCATATTTTTGTTTCTCATTTTTTCTCAAATTTCAATTTAAAGGTTTTAATGAGAATTCTGCTATATATTCAAAATTATGTTTATATGGAATATTTACGTGTTGTTTATGTTACATTTAGATTAATTTTTTGATTTAGACAATATAAACAATGAAAAACATATAAATTATAAATTGAATAATACAGAAAGAAATATGTATTTAAGTTTTATGATTGTTAATATATTTAACTTTAGTATTAATAAATAAAAATATATAAGCTAGAATAGAAATTTTAACATCAAAGAACATAGGCTATAATGATTCGTACAGTGTTTACATAGATGACACAAAATATAATTTATATTAATATCTATATACATATAGATATGTAAATTATTATGTAAACACACAGCCTTAGTTTTAATTTGAATTAAAAAACTGTTTAGTCATGTAATAGAGATATTGAATAACTCTTATTCTTATAATTTATTTAGAATTTTTTCAAATTTTTTGAAACAGAAAAAATCCAGATTGTGGGCGCAAGGTATAAAAATATGATTGGAGACAGAGAGATAATGTAGGATTTTCATATGATGCAATAATTTTACTTAAACAATGAAACAGAAACTCTTCTAAACAAATAAAAAATGACATTTTACAGATGCAGATTAGCTTGTATTCGAATGAACGTGTGTCTCGTTAGCTGAGATCATATGAGTAAAATGATGCATTATAGCCCATGGATTCAACATCAGCCGATAGCAGATCATCAATGTTGCATGCCATATATTGATATGATGCCATCCTATCACGATCACGATCATGAACGTCATCGGCTGACTGAAGAAGAAACCGAGCAAGCTAGCGAGGAGGTGCATGACACAATGACGCCTGCTACTTCCGGCGAACGTAGTTCTAGCGCAGATCTATTCAGATTGGAGTTTGCTGCTTCTCAATGGTCCAAGTTAGTTTCTAATGCAGAAGGTCTGTTTACGAAGCTCATGACAAGTAATGTTCTGCCACACACTGATCAAGATCAAATTGAGCAGTGGCTGTGCATGAAACAAGAGTATGAGGAATGTATAGCCAGCGATGAGAGTACCAGTTTGCAGGGATATGCAGAGAATGCCAGAAGATCATTGGAACGCATTGAGGAAGTAACTGAGACTGATGAAAAAACTGACGAATCTGCGAATCAAACGAAAATTAAGCTTAATCCCAATTGTACCTCCAGTTCAGAGAGTGAAATATCTGATGTTGATGATGATGAGGAAGAAGAAGAGGACGACGAGGAAGAAGACGACGATCAAAGTGATGTGAGTTCGGAAAATCCAGATTTTTTGGAGAAGCTGGACGAATGTATGAGTAAATTTAAGTTGGAGACGGATAGAATTGTCGATTCTACAAAGGATGATTTCAGAGAGGCAAACATTGAGATTATATCTCCAGTGACGAGATCCGTAAATAATAATTACGTACCAGTATCTCGTCCCATACCGATAAGAAATCCAAATTCCAGGAGAAACTCGATGTTACCTGGTTCTGATATGTGTAACGAAGTATTAGCTTTTAATGACAGCCTGAAACCTTGCCAAAATCAAATCCTTGAAAATCATATCTCAGAATATATCAATCCTTACATGTTGGATAATCGCGAGTCAGAAGTAAATATTACTGATAATATCATTAACGATAATTTTGTTGCAATACAAAACGATAATTCACCTGATCTATTACTTGAGGTTCTCAAAAACACGGAAATGCCTGAACCTATCAAAGAGTTGAAAGCTCTAACACTAAATAACGAGGCGAAACAGACACAAGTGAAGAAAATTCAATCAAATTTGGATGGAGCGCATAAACGTATTGAAGAACTGCAAACGACAATTAAGATTAAGCAACGTTTCATAGCAGATATGATAAAGAATTCCGATACGCGCACCAGCGCGAAGCAAAAATTCCAACGTAAACGTAGTAAACTGGAAGAGGAGTATTACAATACGAGAACACAATTGGCACAAGCGGAAAATGCACATATGTACAAGGATCTTGATGAAAAGACACACAAGAAAGAAATTGAATTAATGAAAAATATAGCGATACATTATGAGAAACGAATGATGGATATAGATATGATAAAGCAAATAGCAGGTGATTCCGCGAAAAAAGTCTTGGAGTTGGAAGCCTCGTTAAATACGTCAAAGAAGCAAATGGATAAATTAAAGCGGCAATTGAAGAGAGAAGAGGAACGTAAGAAGCAGTTGGAGGACGAGTTGGCTAAGGATCAGCAAAAGATTCGTGAACTTGAGGAGAAATATAATTTAACTGCGTCCAAATTGAAGGAAATGCAATCGGAGAGCGAGGATGAGAAACACAATATGAAATCAAAAACTGTTTGTTCAGAGAAAGATTGTTCAGATAAGATGAAGAATTTGATGGATGTTAGTGCAAGGATATCTCATCTGGATCATGTTCTGAAAGAGAAATCAATGGATCTAGAAAGAACTGCTGACATGGATGAGAAAGAAGCGTTACGACACGAAATTAGAAATTTGAGGCGCACTCGAGATTGTTTAGTGGACGAGAAATGCGATTTAGATGAGAAGTTTCAAAAGGATAGAACCCTGACGATGGTCGAAGAACGTAAACTATTAGAATGCGGTGAAACCATCGAAGCCATCGATGCGATGATCGAGCACAAGAATGAAATGATTTGCGGACGGAAGGATTTTGATGAGAATCAATCTCAACGCGAAAAGGGTGAGAGAATGTTGACGGAGCGTTTGAAGAAACTCTCACACGGTGAAATAATAACGTTATTTATGAAATACTTCCGCAAGGTGATCGACTTGAAGGAAAGCTCGAAGAATCTGGAGGTTCAGATAACCGAGCTCGAGGCTCACATCACGAATCAGGATTGGCGGCTAATGGAAGCCGAGAAACGAATGATTTTAATGCAGAGGCAGTACGAAGATAAGTTGCATCACGTGTTTAGGCACTTTGCAGAGGAGACAAGCAGCTCCGGTTACGAACGATTGGATAAGGATTCTGAGCTTGTAAGATTTAAAAAGGAAAATAGAGCGCTCAAAAAACGATTAGCGGATGTCGAAGCTCTTCTCAAGGGTACAACACCACCGCGTGCAGCTAGTCCATGTAAAATTCTGCAACAGCAAGGATTAAAACAGATCACTCCGAGTACTCGATCGACGACTATAACGAGAAAACGAAACAAACTGATAATTGAAAAGACAACTGACAGAGAGAGCGATAAGAGGAAAAAGTGAATTTGTTAAGTATCTTTATTTATTATTATATATTTACAAACGATTTGAATTTTTTATTGTATACTGTTTACATACTACATCTCCGTAGTTCCTTGTCTCAAATATTCACGATAGACTGTATAAAAGCATTTCTTTTTTTAACACAGTATAGTTTCCTAGATCAATACATAGATTATGTGATAATAGTTTTTCTGTGTGAAACAATTACCTCTTCTGTATTTTTATATATAGGACATTTTTAAAGATACATTCAGTATATTTTTGGTTATCAGGCAACTTAAAAATAAATTTGACGATAATTATATTTATTAACCTTTAAGTGAGTAATGTAAAGATGTGCAAGTTGATAGATGAGGTTGGTAGATGAGGTGTTCAGAATATCCCAAAAAGTTTTATTTTTGCAGTTATATTTTTTACTGCATTATATGTTATAATTAAATTTATATTAATTATATCCTTATAAGATAGACTATAAAAAAATGTAAAAATAACTTTGAACTTTAAGACTTTTTTTTATCTTTATTTTCACAATACTTTTTATTTTTTTTTCCAAAACAAGGTTTTTAAGAAAATTCAGGTAGCAAATATAGTCATTTTGATGTCAATGGTATAGTCATTTTGAATTATTGATGTCACGTGATCTATGTAAGATATAATATTGACGTTATCTTTTTTACCAATTACTAATGTTATTTATGACATATTTACAACGTTATACTTATTGATGTTAGATAAATGACTAATTGACGACGTATTCGTAATGTTATTAATGATCAATTAATAACATCATTCATTTATGCCGTTAATAATAATACGAAAATAATGATGTATTTTCGTTAACGTTGGTTAATATGACGTTATGTAGACAAATCCACGTCACTTTTACGATGATAGAATATTAGATTCGTTAAGAATGAACAAATAATTACGTCAAATAAACAATACCTTGCTATCTAAGAAATCTGTGGCCTCATCTACTCGCTTAAATGTTAAGGGATGTATTATTCTTCGATACAAATTTAACTGCATGCAATTTATCCATGTTGTATTTATTGCAGGGCATAGTTTCAAGCTCTCATATAATTTAATATATTTAACCGTAATATCTGTGAAAATCATTCGCGTGCGAAAGCCTATCTGCATGCCGTTCGTAACAATATATAATTATTCAGCAGTTGATGTAGTAAAACAATTGTCATGTCGACGACATAATAAAATCGGTCGCTTCGTTCTGATTTATGCGACAGGAAAATTTGGCTTGCGAATCTCGTGTAAATAGTGGCACTCAATTGTTGTATATTAGGCAGTGTGTATTCAAATTAATTTCACAGACAGTTTTTAAATGGTGATAAATGTAGTCCGGAAATTATACCGATGTATTTGGAATTGAGCTATTAAAAAATATATTGCCTAAGAATTACGAGTCTGAATAGAATATACTAGGATTCTTGCAACTGCTCAAGTGTTGTATTTCCTAGACGTATCGATAACAATACGCATAATATCTTGCTATACCCCGCGATTACTTTTGACTATTTATATATTGTTCGTGTATTTGGAAGAAATGTTTGATCTCCGTATTATTAACTCTCTCACTACCGAAATTTTTGCTAGACACATAAAAAAAACCATAATATTTTCTGATACATGTA